GGGGGGAAGTAAAGGTTATAATATAAAATCCTAATTTTTAACATAGATAATTTTTTTTTTTACTTTTTCACTGGGGTCCTTAACCCCCCCCCCCCCTTTTAACCATTGGATCCGCCTCTGGTCGTTAATGAAATTTCAGTTGCTGTTTCAAAAAAATTACTCTAGTTTGCGTCCCAAGCTTTACCGTATAGAACTTAAGTTTATGCCAAAATTGTGCATGATATGTAAAAGTGCTACAATAATCTTATATGATGCTTTTGGACGTCTTAACCCATTTTTTAGAACATTTCTGAAATAGTATCGTATTAATTTTTGATAGGACGTTTCAGAGAAATGTCATATGAATCTATATTTTTATAGACCACTTGTTTTATAAGACATATTCGAATAAGGTCAAAAAAAATTATATGACCTTTTATTCCAAAAGTGTTGTAAAGAATTTGTTAAGATGCTCAATCAAAGATTATAGTGTTCTCGTTTTGACATCATATAAACCTAATTTTGTCGTAGTATTTGTGTAAAATAAAAACTATAAAATTCTTGTTTGGTATAACTTAATTAATTCAAAATTTTATTAAGTTAGATATTTTAGAATAAAATTTTTATATAATTTATTTTAATTTTAATGAAGGCTTTTTTGGATAAAAATAATTAATTATTAAGTACTTTTTTGTGTGGATAATTAAGGAAATGATTAGTATTATGTCGCATTCATTAAAACTTAGTGATTATCGTGTATGTGATATCGTGTTTATAAGTTATGTATTAGTTAGTTTTATGTGATTAATTTTTTTTAAAAACTTGTACATATGTTAATAATAAGTTGTAAACTTGAAATTAAAAAATGTATGCTTAGTAACAAAGCTTAATAAGTTTTTTTTTAACGTAAACGGTTTATAAAATAATACAGATATAAATTGAACAAATATAAACATAGAAACCCTTTTAAAGAAAAAAAATAGATAAACCAACCCTTATTGGCATTTTCATAGTTAATAAGAAATTTGTAAATAAATAAATGAACCACAAGGATGGTGCTTGATTGGTTTAAACTTGGCTTCAAAGGTCAAAAGTACCAGGATGTCTCAGGTTCAAATCCAAGGAGGAATAAAAATCCCCTTGTGGCCACGGAGGTTCAAATGCGATGACTCCGGCTATCTGCAAAATAGGTGGTCGCCCTGGGATTAGTCCGTTCGCATAGCGGGTTGGATATCCATGTTAATAAAAAAAATTGTAAATGCCCTACATTGTAGGCATGAGTATATTTGAGTAATATTGAATTCAGTGAAACTCGTGAGAAGATCTTATGAACCATTTGTTGGAATTTTTTTTTATCTGATTGTACTTCAATAACACAGTTATAAGAGAGATCTCAGATGTGCATTTCACATACCTTTACATGCCTTCACATACCTTCATTATTGCATACACAAGAGAAATTCCTAAACCTCACTTATCTTCGAATGAAAAAAGGTTGATCTTAAATATATATTCACTAAACTTCACATACCTTCAACACTGAACTTTCATAAGAAAAGTATTGAAACTTCACATACATATATAATTTTTGGACTTTCATAAAAAAATACATGAATAGTTGTTGTCTAAAAACTAGGACATTTACCAACAAACGATACATAACAAATTTGGATAAAAAAAAACAAATAAGAAGAATGATTCAATATCTTATGAACAACCGAATAACATATGAAAGCACATGCAAGTAACTCCCAAGTTTAGTGTGGTTCCACCATCGGAAGGTAGTGTTCGTCCACATACGAACAAAGGATCTTTGTTATCTAAAGAGAAACCGAAAACCGAATAAAGGTTACAAAAAAATCGCAATCTCTCAAAGCTAATGATAACATTTTCTATCTGTTTCTCTCTGATTTTGTGATAATTAGTTAGAAACATATATAAAAGGTGTATTATATAACAACTTCAAGAAATCCCAATATAATCTGGATCCTAATATCAAGGCAGGATTGTGCTTTTTATATGCAACACAATTGTGCGATCTTTCAAGAAAAGTTTGTAACTTGTGGATGTTCGCAGATGACCATTTGCAGACTCCCGTCACCTCTCGTGTTCCAGTTTTTGTTGTTTTGGTATTTTGTATCACTTTCTTCAACATTCAAAATAATTTCAACTCCTAATTTAATTTTTCAGAATTAAAACTATATTTAAATGAAAGTATTAGTTTCCAGATATATACATATATATATATATATATATATATATAATGTGTGTGTAAGGAATTTTCTAAATGAAAACTATAAATATTTTAAGAATGTGAGAACCAACTATTCATGATATTATTATTTATTCATGATATATAATTAACCTAAATATTCATGGGTATTATGAATAATGAATATAATGTATTTTCATTACTAACAATATCAGTAATTCTTTTATCATAAATATCATGCATTTTCATTATAAATTATTTGTTTTTCCATCACATGTTTACATTAAGAAGAAACATGTATAATTTATTCAAATTGTTCATATATACCATAAATCTATACAAATTATAATTTAATTACATATATAATTAGCTAATGCTGCTATTTAAAATCGAACTTAATTACATAATTACACATAATTATCATATTACATGTTGATATTATTGTCTATAACAACTATGCCTTTCAACTAAGAATTGAAGTTCTATTAAGAAAAAACTAAGCATTATTAAAGCATTCATTTTCTTGTTTTACGTTGAAATGCAAGAACTTATAACAAACTATAATAATGTTCTTCCCAATCCCACAAAGGTTGATCATCAAACTCCCTCATAAGGCCAGAGCTACTCGTATGATCTTGTGACGAGTTGTAGTTATTATCAGATGAACATATTGTCCTCTCTATTGCCGCTCGATGGTTGCTATAAGTTAATGTGGTTGCATGATGATCGTTGTTGTGTAAGCTTTGCTGAATTGGTCTTGGCTCCGTAACCACGACTCCTGATGGTCTTCTGTCAAATGCCCTCAAACAATTTGATTTTATATACACTCGGCATATGCTTAATTCTTGCATCAACTGCATTTTATTAATCATATTTGATGTAACAAAATGAATTAGAATAATTAAAACAGAAATTGAGGGAGTAATGGTAAATGTTTTTAATTATCTGAAATTTGTTTGACATTTTCTTATGAAAAATATTTTTTTGTATTTCTCTGTATATAGTAATATATGGTAAGATAGTTAACTTAATACAAGTTTTCCTTTATATATTATATATACAAAACCAAGTTTCCAATTTTTAGGGTTATTTTATAAAATTATGTAACCTAATTTTGTTGTCAAAATACATAAATTTGTTTCCCAAACACCATACGATTCACAAATGAAATTGAAAGTTATGAAACGATACCTTGATTTTAGGTTTAGTTGTTGAGGAGACTTCTTCTTGAAAAGCCTTGTATTCGTTCATTTTCCATTTGGTTTTCTTTCCGGTGGGAGCTCTACCGTTATAGAAAACCATGGTTCTCTTGATTGCAATACGTCGATTACCAGAAGAGTAGACGACACTTGGAGATCCAGTGGCCTTCCAGTAGCCAGATTTCGTAAGACGGGATGTCCGCCCTCCTCTTGTTTCTTTCTCTTGTCTAGGAATGAAAAAGAACCATTGCTCCGGATCTCCTTTACATAGCTCTCCTGCATATTCTGTGAATCACAAACGAAGAAAGAAAATACAATTATCAGGACCAGTCGATCTACCGATGATTATATATATATATATATATATATATCTATACTATCTTATAAAACATTTGGCTAAAACTCTTAAAAACTCTTAAAACTCTTAAACTCTTAAAAACTCTTAAAACTCTTAAAAACTCTTAAACTCGTTCATCCCTATCCGATTTCATCCCATATCTGAATTCGTGTAACTAACTGTAGATAAACACAATCAAATACAAGATAAACATCTCAT